TTCACTCAGCTTGTACCCATGAGACCTGTCAGTGTTGTCATAGCAGCTGTCATTTTACTCAGTGTCTCCGAGTTTACTTGGTGCATAGAGGTGAGCTTTTGCCACCTGCTCAACACCCTCCGAGGCTGCTTCCACCCAGCCACGCTCCGTTTGCCTCCCTGCAGCCACGCCATGATGCAGGTGGTTCTGCCTGCACTTCACAGATGAGGAGTCTGAGGTCTGAGAGGACCCCCGCTTGCCAAGGTCTCCCAGACAGTCAAGGTGGGGCCCGCACACTTGGGCCCAGAATTATGCTCCATGTCTTAGATGCCCTGGAGTCCCTGCCAACGTGGGTGACCCCCCCATGCCCGTGTGTCCCGGACTGCCAGGAATGATCTGGGGTGAGACAGGAGGAACCTGAGGGAGAGCGTCTCCCCCGCACCTCATCCCACCCCACCCCACAGTCTGTCTGCAGACAGATGAACAGGGAGCTCTTATCAGTGCTGACATGTTACCAGCTTTGGGTTTGCCTGGGGACAAAGTCCTGGCTACTGTAGAGACAAGCTCACTGGGTGAGGACTGGACAAACAGGACGGAGGCCAAGTTCTAGCTCGGTCACTTCCTGCCTCATCACCTTGGGACTATTTCCGACCCCCTCTGGGCCTTGGTTTCCCCCCTCTGTGCAGGGTGAAGGTTTGGCCACGTTTTTCACAGGGGACTTGCTTCAGGAGCAACAGAGAGGTGTGTAGCAGGACCAAGTGCATGGCAGAAGGTCTAAGTTCAAATCCCAGCCCTATCACTTATTATTTTTTTTTTAATATTTATTTTTAGAGAGAAGAGAAGGGGACGGAGAGAAACATTGATGTGGGAGAAATATGTTGGTCCGTTGCCTCTTGCCCGCCCCCAACTGGGGACCTGGCCCACAACCCAGGCACGGGCCCTGACCAGAAAATGAACCGGTCCCCTTTAGGGTCATAGGCCAGCACTCAGACCACCAAGACACAGCAGCCAGGGCCGGCCCTACCACTTACTGGCTGTGCATCCTTAAGCAGGTTTCTGAACCTTCCTGGGACCCAGTTTTCCCATGTCTACAACGGGAATGGTAATACTGCACCTGCCATGTTCCTCCAGTTGGGAAGGGGTGGGACCCGTGGCCAGAAGAGCTGTTAGAGACCAACCCGTGGTGTCTATTGGCTCAAGGGACTGGGCACGCGCAGGGGCAATTGTGATTTCTGAGGCCTGCTAACAGCCGTCACTGTTCCTAACACAGCCAAAATCTAATCAGTGCCCTGAGTCCTGACGTCACATGTTTGCTCTTCAGGGAAGTGAGCCCCAGTTACCAGCTCCCTGGAGGTTGGCCCTCCGCCGGGGGTGGCCCATCGGTGCCCGTATTAGGGTATTAAGGAGACTCCAAGCCAGAATTGGTCAGTGTTTATCCAGCAGTGAGAGGTGGAAAATGCCAGCTGACCAGGCCCCCTGCACACAGTCAGGGGGAGTCTCTTCATTCGCCCTCCTGTTCAGCAAGTATCTGTGGACCCCCCCACTCTGTGCTGGGCGCTGTGCTGGGCTCTGGGGCTGTACCAGTGAAGGTGGACACAGGCTCCCGCCTTGTGGGAGCTGCGTTCTGGTGGACCCTTGGACAATGAACAGGGAGGGAGAGAGAGAGAGAGAGAAATGCTGCAGGGAGTTAACTGCTGAGCAGAGAAATAGAGCAAGAGCAGGGTTTGTAGAGCGGAGGAGGCCGGCTTCTGCTCCTGAGCAGGTGGTGTCTGGACTCGGGTCCCTCAGCTTCAGCCGCCTCCCTGGGGCCTCCAGTGCCCTCTGCGGACGGCCGTGGCTTCCAGAACCCTAGATGGGGTTGCCTGGATGCTTTCCCAGGGGCCCCATTGGCCGCTTGGACTCAACGTGTCCACAGCCAACACAAGTGTACACATTGCCATAAAGTGGCCATTGGCACAAGATGCCAGCCTGTCCCTGAGATGGTGCCTCCCTCCAGGGGGTCTGGCTGGCCATGTCCCATGAAGGAGGTCACGGTCTCCAGCCCTCTCCTGTCCCTCTCAGATAAAGTCGTGCATCACTGTGACCCCCTGGATTTCTGCCGCAGCTGGTGACCCTCAAATTCGTCTCCACCCCGAGCCTTTCTCCTGAGACCAGGCCACGGGGACATATGTCCCCCTGGATGGCTCCCGGGGCCCGCCGCCCACGTGAAGTCACTGCGTCTGCCGTGTGGTGGAGTGTGTGGTCTCCCGCGGCGAGCCTGCTCCCCTTCCCAGCGCCGCTGTCCGCCCGAGGCCCCCTGCCCACCCTGAGATGCCCCCCACCAGCCATCACCACGCTCCCAGGCAAGGCTGGGGTCTGCCCCCCGCCTGCAGCTCCCGCAGCTCCCCGTCCTCTCGCAGCCACCCCGTCTCGCCCTGCGGTCGTCTGCACACGCCGGTTGAGTGGGATTTCTGGAGAGCAGCGCCTCTCCTGCGGACTGGCCTTCAGTGGCTCCCACTGCCCTGGGGATGGCGTCCTAATTGCTTACCATGCCTGGTGGGCAGCACTGTCCCCCGGCCCTGCCAGCCTCTCTGCTCTCGCCCCATCCTCTCGTCCCATCGCCGCAGCCGAGGCCCGTCTTGTGTGGTGGGAACTGGGCTGTGGCCTCCCTCCTCCCTGGCTATTCACTCACTCTTCAGTTGTCCCTCCCCTCCACTCCTTCCTCTCTCAGGATCCTTCAGGATCTGTAAAGTGGGTTTAATAATTGTACTCACCTCGTGGGGGGGGCCTTAAAGCATCTGGAACAGTGCAGGGCACAAAGGAAGCACCGTACACGTGCAACAGTAAGGACAAAGTGAGGTGCGCGTGGTCATTTATTGAGTGCCCGCTCTCCCAGGCACTGGGCTCGGCGTTCAGGTTATGTGGACAAGGCACCGTCTCTGCCCTCGGGGAGCCCTCGGTGCCCTCTGCGGGACACGTTTCCTCCCTCTCCGCACCCCCGCCCCTCCCCTCGCCTGGAGAATTCTTGTTCGTCCTCCCACCCCCGCCCCTGATGCTCGAGGAGCAGCGTGTGAGGAGCGTGCGCGCTCACCGACAGCTGCCCCCTAACGGCCTCTTACGTTTTCCGATGGTGTTGTCCCCCCGGCTCTCTGTGGGCCTCTTTCTCACACCGGTTCCTCCCATGGCCCACTCCACCCGGGTAAATGGCCACCCCATCATTTCAGGGGCTCCGGCCTCATTAATCCTCTTGTCCTCTCACGCGCCTCCCAAATTCCATTCTGTCAGCAAACCCTTTGGCTCTGCCTTCAAAGGTCAGAATCCACCCTGTCCTTCCCATTCCCTCCCCACAACCCTGTGTGAGCCGGCACCTGTTGCCTGGACCGGTCCAGCAGCCTCCCTCCTCCCTGGCCCCTGCCTCTGCCCCTGACCCCACAGGCCTTTCACACCACACAGACAGGGGGTGGTTTGAGAAGCCTCGTGACATCGCATCTGTGCTCAGACCTTCCAGTAACTTCTCTCGTCACTCAAATATTTGTCAAAGGAACGAGTGAATGAATGAATGGCCTTTTTTGCATCCCTAGTACCTGGCACATAGTAGGTGCTCAGAAAACACCTGCAACAGGACTACACAAGGGCATGAACAAGCAGGTGAGGACCTGGAGCGCACAGTAGGTCCGTGGGAGCCTAGTGGGCTCTGTGGGCGGGGGTGGCTGATTCTTGCTCCTGGTAGTGGCAGAGCCAGCCAGTGCCACCCCTCCCGTCACTCACTGGGACGGAGGTGGGGCAGGTAGGCAGAGCCCAGGCCATTTTGGGGCCCTGGCAGGCCGGCCTCACCACCCTGGGTTGGGCTGCTGACGTGGCTGCTGGTTCTGGGAACCCCAGCCAGGCAGCAGTTCCGGGAAAGCTGCTGCCTCAGGGAGAAGTGTGTCCCTGGCCCCCTGCCACACCGGCCCAGCTGCCTCGGGGGCCAGAGGAGGCTCCGGGCCGGCCTAAGCTGTGGGGCTCCGGGGTCAGTGGCTCCCTAGGCGGCGCCTGCAGCCCCCGCTGTGTCTCTGGCTTCCTCCCCACACGCCTCCTGTCACGGGACGGACTGCATCCTGCCTGTGATCCAGCCCCTTCAAGCTGGTTGAGGTCTAGAGCAACCTAGAGGAACCTGAGGAACAGGAGGCCTGTTGTATACACCCTCTGGGCTCGGGAGGAGCCTCCTCGGTCACTTCCAACTGCTGCCGGCTTCTGACACTTCAAGACTCGCCACTCGCCTCCCCTCACATAAAAAGAGTGAGTGAAATGTGTTTCTCTGCCAGCAGGAGGGTTTGCTCTCACTCCCACTCGAGGCGCTCTGCTAGCTTCCTGGCTCCGGCTGCCGTTCCCGTCCCGGCTCTGTGACCACAAGCTAGTGCTCTAACCTCTCTGTGCCTCAGCCTCCTCCTCACTTGTAAAATGGGGGTTTTAGTGGCCCCTACGTCACAGAGTTGTTGTGAGAACAAACCAATTAATACCTTGTAAGCGCTGAGAACAATGCCAGGCACATAATAAGCACTATCTATGTATGGCGAGTATGGGCAAAAGTTTGGTATATACCCATGTTTCAAGATAGATGATTGAATTTGTATTGTTGAAGTTTAGCCAACCATTCATTTAATAGCTGTTTACTGAGCACCTGCTGTGTGTGTCAGGCACTGTTTAGGCACTGGGGACGGAGCAGTGCCCGGGGCAGACATACAGAGAGACAAAGAAACAACGTAGACGTTACAGGGTATCTTTTACACTCCCGACTTCATGAACTGGCAGCAGAATGAGAAGGGCTAAATCACATTGCCGCGACGCAGAGTACTTCTTTGGTGAACCATTTATGTCCTTTGCCTTTTTTTCCTTAATGGATGTTTGTCTTACTGATTTTTTAAGACTTTTATAAAAAGGCCATTTAACCCTCCTTTGTGTAGATTGCTACTTTTTTTCTAGTCTTTTGCTTGCTCTCTATATTGTTAATGCCATGTTTTGATCTGGGGAAACTGAAAAAGTTTTGCAGTCAGATCTTTCTATCTTTGCCATCTACATCCTGAAATAAAATAAATATTCACACATGCAACCTCAGTGATATGATTAGAGACGATGATAAGTATTTGACCGAAACAAACAGGGTGCTGTGCTAAGAAGTAACAGGGGAGCCCTCCTTAGAGGATGGGGTTTCTGGGTGTGAAGGCTGCGCGGGACAACAGGGCTGGGAGGGTCAGTGCTCAGAGGCCAGAGGGGCCCAAGGCTTGTGAGGGGCAGACAGGGTAGGAGGGACAGTGTATGTGTAACAGGGGGCTTGAGGTTTTTTTATTTTCGTAAACTTTTAGTTTTAAGGTCATTGTAGACTCACAGGCAGTTGTAAGAAGTAACAGAGAGATCCCCTGTTCTCTCAGCCTCCCCCCAGGGTAGCATCTCAGGGTAGAACCGTGGTGCGTCCTCACAGCACGGGTATCGACACCCACACCGCCTGTTGATCGCGCTCAGGCTGCCCTGCCCCACTGTGCTGGTCAGTGCGTGTGCGATGTTACCGCACGCTCAGCTCTGTGTCTCCACCTGCAGAGCAGTTCTGTCCTCACGAGGGTCCGTCCCTGGTTGCCTTTTATAGCCTCGCCGACCTCCCTGCCGCCCGCCCCATCTCACCCCCGGCAGCCGCTCATCTGTTCTCTGTTTGGTGTGTTGCCGTTTCCAGAAGGTTACGTAAATGGAATGGCACAGTGCGCCCTTTGGGATTGGCCGTCCTCACTCCCGGGCTTGGACTGTATCCTGTGTCCGGGATGCGCCTCCTGGATGGGCTGCGACCCCCTGGGGCTCTGTGGCCCCTGGGTGAAGACACTCTTCAGGAGCCAGAGGCCAGTGGACATGAGCGGGCAGTTCATGGCCTGGTTTTCCATTGGAAAGTGACTCTACCGCAGCGTGGAGAAGAGACGGGGTGCCCTACTCACGCCTGCGGCAACTGCTCGCTGCCACCACGGCCTCCCTCCCATTATTCGGTCAGCCCCAGAGCGCGCTGAGAAGAATCTTGCCACAGCCCTGCCCAAAGACCCTCAAAATCTGCTCATTGCCTAGAGGGGGAGGGGCCTTCAACCTGGTGTCCTCACTTGGGCTCCAGGGGATCTGTGAACCCCTAAAATGGGAGTTAAACGTTTGCACTTTTCTAGAAAGAGGGTTCGGAGTTGGGTCAGATGTTCAGACAGGTCGGTGATCTCCAGAACACTGCGGACTCAGGCTTGTCAACAGCCAGAGGTGAGGGGCCGAGGCCCTGGAGCCTGGCCGCCCGCCCGCGTCCCGGGCTGTCACTGCTGTGCGCCCTCAGGCCGGCCGCCGGAGCCCTTCTGTGCCTGGGTCTCCTCATCTGAAAGCGGGGGACATAATAGCACCTACTTCGTGGGGCTGTTCCGAGTAGCGAATGAGTTACTATGACTCAAGCGTGCGGAGGGGATTTGGCTCGCGGTAAACGTGTCGGCTGAGTGAGGACAGCGCTGCAGGGTGGAGCAGGGCGGCACCTTTCAGCACAGACGGTCGGCGCCCTCTGGGGTTCGGGGCCCTGTGTCAGTCGTCCTGCTCTCAGTAAGCTTTTCCGATGGGCAGGGTTTCTTGCAGAGGGGTGCACGGCTGTGGCTGGGCGCTCTCACCTCCCTTGTCCTGGATCTTATATCTCTGTTCATATGGCTTTAGTTGGCTTTTTTGTTTGTGTAGCTGCTGCTTTACCTCTGGCTCATTGGAGTTTGTAGACCCTACACATCCTCGGCCTTTTCTGCTGCTCAGGCAGGCGCTGGGAGGGAATGGTAATCAGAGGCGCTGCTAGATCCTGGCTGGTGAAGGGCATTGTTGAGGCAGTTAGCACAGCGGAGATAGGGTCAGTGGGGTAGAGCCGTCACGCATCCGTGTGACGTGAGTTCCTTATTGTGATGGTTGCACTGTGAACGTACTGGAGCACCGAGGGTTAATTTACTCCTTGTGACTAAATAAGAAAGAGGCTGAGAGAGGGGGAATGGGAGTGAAAAGGACACCGAGGGGAAAGGTGTGGCGGTGGGAACAGCTGGTGTGGTTGAAGAGCAGCAGGAGTGAAGGCCTGCGGGTGGCAGGAGCGCCAGGCACAGCCGCCGGGGGTGGGGAGGGGGCCGCCTGGGTGGGTGGAGCCTTCAAGTGGGATGAAGTCTGGGGGCTTGGGGCTCCTGCTGTGGCCTTCAGCCCTTCCCAGGCTCCAGACACGGTGCAGAGTGTTCTGGGTCCACACCTGGCTTCCCTCTGCGGGACGCCTGAGAGCCTGATCCAGGTATAGTTTCTGTGTCGCAGATAAAGCAGCCAAAGTCCAAAGAGAGTAACTGTCGGAAGAGCACGTAGCGACTAAGTAGCTAAGGAGGTCCGGCAGGGGCATTTCTGAATATGACCTCAGGATAGAGGCCCAGACGGGGGAGTGGGGGGGCGCTGTCAGCGGGGCCCAGGAATGTCGCCCTGTAGAGGGCGTTGGGCCTTGCAGGCCGGGCGTGTGGGGGAAGGGCACGCTCCTTGAGCCAATGGGATTCTGCTTCTGCGCATTTTCCTTAGCGATAATGACTGGTGACATCACGAGCCATGCCTGCGTCCAGTTCACCACTTGAGGCCTCCACGTGCGTCAGCTCATTGAATCCGCCCAGCGCTCCCAGGGAGATGGGCACTGAGGCCGAGGGGTTGGCAGCTTGTTCAGGTTCATACGAGTAGGTGGCAGCAGGTGTTTGCATTTAAGGACCAGTCAGAGCCGAGTGGTGGTGGTGCTCCTGGGGCGGCACAGAAGCCCCACTGTGCACAGCAAAGTAACAAAAGCAATAAATAAGGCTAAAATCCAGTGCTTTGGTTCTAAATTTTGTGGCATGAAGTGATACTAATGATACAGTAGGTTTAAAATGTAAGTTTTCGTATGTGGAAGGTGCTGCTATTTGGATAAATAAAATTCCCATTTATCTCCCTGTACTCATCGCAGCCTCTGATAGATATTAATACGTGAGTGGGGTACTTGCTGGGCCTTGTGATTTGGGGATTTGAATTGTGTTTTCTTTTGGGGTGTCTGCACCTCCTCAGTTTTATTCCCCCGGCGTGTCTTGTGGGGTGTCATGAATAAAGTAAGGGAGGCACAGGCTTCCGCGGGCTCCATGGACACACGCTACAGACAGCAGGGGTCCCCTATGGGGTTAGAAGTGCAGGTCGCGGAGAGTGACGGGAACGAGTGACAATGCCGTGTAACAAACAGGCACGAAGTCTCAGGGCCGTGTAAGGGACACTTCACTCGGCCCGACTGTGCGGGTCCGCATCTGGGCGTGGCCCATCTCGCGGGCTCCCTTACGCATCTGAGGTCAGCCCTGCGGACGTGTGGCCTCACTCACACAGCAGGGGGCAGCTGCCTGTTGCCTGAGGCAGCATGAGACGGCTGGGACGTGCCTGTCGCCATCCACCGCCAGGCCAGCCCGGGCACGTTCTCGAGGCGGTGGCTGTGCCAAGTGGCCTCGCATGCCTCCCCTGGCCAGTGTTCTCCAGGCCAAAGCCAGTCACGTGGTGAGCCCAGAGTCTAAGGGCAGGGAGAACACCCTGCCCAGGGTGGGGGGCTGGGCCCACTGCAAGGTCACATGGACACAGGAGTGAAGAATTGGGCCGCTCATGCAGTCAGTCTACCACAATCAGCAGCAATTTTAGTGGCCGCCTGATACTTCACTGCATGGGTCTACCATCATTTATTTAACCAGCACTGTCAGGCTGAACAGTTAGCTTAGCATTTCCAAACTGTATCTCAAGGGATTATAAATCCTTCAGGGGATTAATTAGGGTTTTGACGCACACGCAAAAATGAAGTTTGGGTATGGAAATAAACTTGGTAATCATTGAGTTAAATGAAGAAAAATACATTTCCTTACCACAGGACCTACCGGAACCTTTACATGCAAAAGTGCGTTATGCGTTTCCAAGTCCGAGGGATGCTCAAACTTAGCAGGCCATGGGATGTCTTTTTTCCAAAAAGCATCTCTTGGGACAGGTGCTTCGCGGCTCTCACTCTGGGCTTTGTGTGCCGGGGCTGGGTTTTGTGATTATAAACAGATCTCTGGTGGACACGGAGGGCTCAGCGTGGGCGGGGACACGGGTGGCCAGGGAGCGGGGCAGTTGTGTCTGGAGCACGGTGAGTCCTGCAGGCTGCACTCGGGACGATGGGCGTCGTGGGGACCACGAGTCCGCGCTATCCCGGGGTCCCTTTCTCTCAGCAGGTGCCTTAGGATCTCCCGATGGGGTGGCTTGGCCCTGGGCTCACGTTCCCTGTGAGCTGCATGATCCTGGTGTGGGCAGCAGGCTCTGGTAAGTCACCACCTCTCATTCTTTCATTCATTCATTCATTCATTCGACAAACACGCATAGACTATTTACCGGCCACTCAATCAGTGAACAAAACAAAGGTCCAGGCCTTGAAGAGATTACTTTGTAGTGGGAGGAGACAGCCAATGACAGATGGCCCTAATTATACATAAATTCTAAAGATCGTTAGGAGGAAAAAGACAACATACAGGGTCAGGCCGAAGTTAGTTAGGCCTGCTTGAGTATGGTTGGTAGGGTAATAACATGGGTATAATAATTCATAGTTTTAATTTGAACATTTCACCTAAAATGTCATATGGTGTGCTTGAGTGTGATATTGTTATGTTACAGAATCACATGCGTATGATTTTGTAATAAAAAGGGGCGTTGTTCGTGCCGGACACTGTGGAACGGAGCAGGGAGGACCGGGAGAGCTGGGTCAAGTGGAGGACTGCAGCTTAAAGCACGTGCTCCGCGAAGTCCTCACTGAGTGACAGCCGAGCAATGGCTTGAAGGAGGAGGGGGCCATGCAGATGTCTGGCGCAGGGGGGTCCCAGGGGAGGCCCCGAGCCGAGAGCCTGCCTGAGGTGTTGAAGGAACCAAAGGAGGCTGCTGTGGGGCCAGGTGCCAGGGCGACCAAATCAAGAAGGACCTCGCAGGGTCTGAGCAGAGGAGCAACACGGCCTTTGCATTAGAAGGGATCCCCTGTGTCTGCATGTGCAAGGGTGGCAGCCGGGGGCCAGGGAGGAGGCGCCCCAGTAGCCGGGCAGCTTGGCCCAGCAGAGGAGACGAGAGGGGATTGGCTTCCAGATCCGTCTGTGAGGGAGGGCTGAAGACAGATTGGAATGGGGCGAGAGAGAGAGAGCAGCGCCTCGGGATTTCTGACCTGAGCGACCAGGAGGGACGCAGTTGTCATCTCTGAGATGCAGAGGGGTATGGGTTTTGGGGAGCAGGGAGTCAGATGAGGAGAGTTTGAGACATTTATTAGATACCTACGACTCTCCTTAACATGGTGAGTCCTTTACCCAGAGAACAAGTGCAGATTGTTGGTGGCTGTGATGGGGCTGGTGCTGGAACGTGGCCACTGGAGCAAGAAGTCTCCTGCCTGTCAGGTGCTGGGCGGTCTGGCGCTGGCGTGATGGCTCCCAGACAATTCGGCAAACCCAGTAGGCATCCTGCCGCGTTCAAATCCAGCTCTGCCACTGACCGCCTGAAGAAGCACCGCAACCTCTTATGCTGCCCTTTGGTATTGGCCGAATGCAACAGGAAGCCAGAGGACAGGGGCACCTGGGTGACAAGGCCTTGGGGGTCAGCCTCCTGAGCTCAGAGTGGGGTGGAGGAGAGATGGGGGTGGGCGCAGGCACAGGGATAACAGCCTCCCCGCCACACCGCGGCAGGGCCGTTGCCTGTTGGCAGGCAGCACTCCTTAGACTGTAGTGTATTTTTCCTTTAATTTGGCCAAGGGCAAGTAGTTGAGCTGCAAAACATAGAGGTGCATTTGGGGGATCCCCTCTAATGGACCCTGCACCCCAGGGTATTTCTTCAGCCTCAGAATCACTTCGGTGCCAGCTGGGAGGCGCCAGGAGCCGCGGTTTGGGCCCAGCTCTGTGAAGACTGGCGCAGGACCTTACCTGGGGCTGTGGTTTCCTTGTTTTGTGATGGGCCCCTTGGTCCTGATCGGGCTGGTTTGTGCCTTGTCTCGATGGCGCATGTCCCTCTTGCTGGTTGGGCCCCGGCTTCTCAGAGCGCTCCTGTGTCTCCCCAGGGAGTGGGAAGGTCCTGCATCAGCCCGCCTGCTTCTCCGACTACATCAGCACCTCCACCTGTGAGTGGAGGGTGGACGGCCCCACCAACTGCAGCGCTGAGCTCCGCCTGACCTACCAGCTGGATTTCCTGTACTCTGAGTAAGCCTGCGCCGGAGCGGGGAGGTCGGCGAGGTTGGCCCTGGGAGCTCGCCTGCCCCGGTGGTGCCCTGGAGTGCCTGGTGCTCCGTGTGGTTCCCTGTGGCTTCCTGGGCACAGCGTTAGAGCTGGGACGCCCAGGGCGCCATGTGTAAGGTACAGTGAGTATGTCACGATGCTCCAGCACAGTCACCGAGGTGTGTGGCACGTGGATGTGGGTGGAATATGAACTGCGCCAGCAGTTCTCAAACATTTAGTCTCAAGACTCTGCGTGCTTAAAAGTTAGTGAGGACCTCGAAAGCTTTTGTCTGGGTAGCATATAGCTATCGTATTTACCCAATTAGGAATTAAAACAGAATATTTAAATCACAACAGCCAACAGAGCAGTGACATCTTAACATGCCATGTAGCCTCTGAAAATCCCACTGTATGTTTGTGAGAGAAAGAGAGTAAAAGACAAGTAACACCTTAGTGTGATTATGAAAATAGTTTGACCCAGTGGATCCCCAGGCCACGCTTAGAGACCCGCTGGACCGGACCAGTGTTTGGGGTACAGTGTCAGTGGTGGAGGTCACCGCGGAAAGTGGGGTACGTCGTTCCCTGTGGCTCACTGGGGTAACGCGTGCACACAGGGCGCCATGACAGGCGGTGCCCAGACACGACCAGGAGCACAGGGCACGCAGGGTCAGGGCCACACCAGACGGGGGCGCTGGCAGAGGCGGCTTCCATGGCACACGGAGGCGCGTGGGCTGTGCTTCTGCGCGTGGTCCGTGGGCTGAGACTAGAGACAGAAAACTAGGGCCCGTGAGCCACGTGGGGCCCTCCACCTGGTTGGATAAATACCGTGTTGTTGGCACACAGCCATGCCTGTTCGTTTACGTATTGTCCGTGGCTGCTTTTGTGCTAGATCAGCACAGTTGTGTAGTTGGGACAGAAATGGTGTGACTCTCAAAGCCCAAAATGCTTACTGTCTGGCCCTTTACAGCAAGTGTTCGCCGCCCCTGGCCTAGCCCATGAGGCGCGGGGTTGGCTATTTCGGGAGGCACGTGAGGATCGTGCTGCGTGTGCCACAGTCCTCTGCGCTGGGAGGAGCTGTGCTCCCCACGGGTGGCTAGAACACACGCACAGGCTGTTACAGATCCTTTAATGCCACGGCCCCTTCCCTTTCATTGGCTCTTAGGGATGAGCTGAGCCCCGGGACCAAGGCCGTGGCCGGGGGTGTGTAAGAGTCCACGGTGGGTGGGGGCCAGCAGGGAAGGCAGCCCTAGGCCACTGTGCCCACCCCTCACCCTGGCCGCTCTGCTTCCAAGTCTCCTGATCTGGTCCTTGAGGCGGGGCGACCAGGAAACTGGAAGAGCATGTGGTTCCTTGAGGCATGTACTGGGGACAGCCATGTGTGCGTGGCCACCTAACACAGCCCCGTGTCTGCAGAAACCACACATGTGTCCCTGAGAACAGAGGAAGCACAGTGTGCCTGTGCGATATGCTGATGGACAACGTGATCAGTGGGGACACCTATCAGCTGGACCTGTGGGCTGGGACGCGGCTGTTGTGGAGCAGCTCCTTCAAGCCCAGCGAGCACGGTGAGTGGGGCCGGGCGGGGCGCGGGTGCTCCCAGAGCTGGCTGGGCTCGGGGGCGGCAGGGGGGGGGGGCAGGCTCCATTTGGGGGGCGAGGCGGGGGGGAGGGCTTCTTACCATTTCTTAAACTTGATGGGTCCTCGCGCTCGTCTGTGCCTTGGGCTTTGTCACGGGGTGGGGCTCAGCGGCACCCGGCCCCCTTCAGCTCAGGTATTTCAACCCCCTGAACGTAAGAGCCCTGGGGGGAGGGTGGCAGAAGGCACGCTTGCTGCAGATCAGAAACCGCTCGGGGAGCCGTCCTTCCACCCTCTGTGGGCTGCTCAGCTGCTGCTTCAGGCAGCCTGGGCCCCAGAGGCTGCCTCTCCTGCTCCCCGGAGTCCCGGCAGCCTTTCCCCAGGAGCGCGCTGGGCCGCAGTGACAGGAGTGCGAAGCACCGCTTATTGCTGTGTGTCCTTGGCTGAGTCACGTTTCCTCTCTGAGCCTCAGTTTCCAGAAGGCAGTTATTATCCCCATTTTGCAATTGAATAAGCCGTAGAACAGAGAAGGCAAGTAATCCACCTAAGGTCACACAGCTGCTAAGGAGTAGAGGCATCTCTCGCAGGTCTCAGCGCTCACAGCCCCTCACCACTCCATCCGCAGTTCCTGAGGGCCTGCTCATCCCCTGCTGCTCGGGGGTTTTTAAATTGACCCATGAACAAACCCATGAATTAAAATAATTCTGACATGTGTATGTTGATTTTGATACACACTGTAGACTTGTGATCTCACTGATACGATTGCTTAAAAAGAGACTTTTTAAACACATGAATCAAAATAAAGAAAAACACTTAGTAAACAGTATAGCACATAGATGTGGCCAAAAGTGTGAAGGATGACAGTGAAAATGCTGAAGTTTGGGTTGCTTTGGTTCATGCATTCTGCGTTCACTGGAGAAGGGTAGTTATGACCACCGTGGCGCCCGGCAGAATCGTAGCAACATCAGAGTGAGTGTTGTGATTGTAATTCTCTGTTACGACTGAACCTCCGGGTACCTTACAAATGTACACAGAGGTGGTGCTCACTGAAAGCCCCCTGGCCCGGGGCCTCTGGGCTGACAAGCCCTCACCAGGCACCTCTTCTCCGCAGTGAAACCCAGGGCCCCCTTAAACCTCACGGTCAACGACAGCGTCCCCCATACATGGCAGCTGACCTGGAGCAACCCGTACCCTCCTGAGAATTTCCTGTACTCCAAGCTCTCCTACCAGGTCGCCATTTCAAATGAAGCCGACCCCACGGAGGTGAGTGGGCCCTGGGGGGTGCAGCACCACCTCTTGGGACTGAGGTGGGCGACACAGGCCCTGGCGTGGGCGACGGAGGCCGGCGGGGCTGACAGCAGCCCCGGGACCTAGAGTCCCAGCCTCTGCCCTGGCTGTGCCGGGCCTGCCCTCCACCCCTCGCCCGGTGCCCGGTGCGCAGCGAAGGGACGTTATTTCTGGGCCCTGCTCCCCATCTGAAAAGGAAGGCCCTGGGCCATGTCTGCGTTTCCCAGGGGCCAGGAGGGACACCGAGATTTTGGGGACACACTTAAATGACTGAGTCCCACAGCAAGAAAGTCGCTCAGCATCATCTCCCTCGCGACCCTGACTGATGAAGGAAGGTCTCCGCTGAGCAGACAGGATCCCTTCTCCTTCGTTGTGACAGTGGGAGGCTGCAGGCTCGGACCCTTCCCCCAGAAAACAGCTTTGGCCGTAATGTAAAGCCGTCTCGCTGGGTTTCCACGGCGTTTACTTTTATGTGACACCCATGGCATCTGATGCCTGCTTTCCAGTCACAGCAGAGACAGCGGCTCCTTTTTAAAGACGTGTTTTGGCATTTTTCACAGGCAGAGCTGATTCGTCTATCAGGTAAAGAGTAGCAGGGGCTGTGCACACGGATGGCTTGGCCCTGCCTGTTTTAGTTGCAGGTGGGGGTGGAGGTCACTTCCCGCCCCCACGTTTTCCCCTCACACGTTCCGCTGGAGGACAGCTGCGCACCACGGGCCCCTGCGTCCCACAGAACTGCGCTCCAGGGCCTGCTCTGCCACTTGCCTGCTGCGTGATCTTGAGCATGTCCCTTAATCTGCTTGTGCCTCAGTTTCCTCATCTCTAACCTGGGGATAACAAGGGTACCACCCCATAGGGCTACTGAGAGTTCGAAGTGCGTGACACAGACAAGCTCCCCTGCCTGGCACAAAGAACGTTGTAAGCATCATCCTCCTTTTCTCCTGAGGGCTACAGGCCTTGCAGATCCCCATCTGCTTCACCCTCCCACGCCCGGGCCTCTAACTCCCCTGTCAGAGTTGTCGAGGGCCTGCTCTGGGCCATGCCTTTGTCCCAGACCCAGGCTGGCCTGCCCGCGGCTGCCAGGGTGCAGGCCCAGACATATGACACACTCCCACGTCAGCTTCCGTTGCTGTCGCTTCTCTTCCTGGCCAAGCTACGGAGGTGGTGGGTGTTGATTCCCATCTGTCACGTGTGGTTCCTACTTGGCCCCGGGCCAGGATGGGGGCTGGGGCAGGGATGGGGCACACACAGCGTGAGGCTCAGAGCACTTGGGGAGAGGGGGTTGCACGGATACCAAGGAAAGAGGCAGGTCCAGTTTTGACCGTTAGGCTTCCCATGCCCTGTGCCTGTTCGGGGTGTAGCCTGGAGGGGAGAGACGCATCCAAACAATGTATGTGTTCGCTTATCTTGGCTGGACCCCGGTCCCAGGAGTCTCCGCGTTGCTTGGCCTGGCTTTATTCTGCCTTCGCTTTATTCTGTTTTCAGGCAGGCTCTTCACCCCTGTGGCCAACATGCCCACTGGCAGTTCCAGGCCTCGGTCCCAAGGCCGCAGTGGGAAAAGTTTCTCTTTCCAGACAGTCCTAAAAAAAGTCCTGGGCTTGGGTCATTGGGCCAATCTCTGAACCTGTCACAGGCTGTGGGCAGGAGAGAGGGTGCTGGTGCCACGCTCTGATTGGCCAGGGATGAGTCCCGTACCCACCTCCGCTCTGCAGGTGCGATCTGCAGGTGCGGTCAGCTCCACCCAAGCCAGATGGGCTGAGGGGTGGGGGGGTGCCCCAAAGGAGACTCTGGGGGAGGGGAAACAGGGACTGGGCTGGCTGAACCACAGCCTGGTTTAGGACTTGGCGCTGGACTCCATCCAATGGCCAGAACTGGTCAGTGGGCCTGGGCCATGGCTCAGTGGGCCTGCTGGCGCTCCCCCCGGTTTCTCCAGCGGCCTGTTGAGGTTTTGCTTCCTCGTCGTGCAGCCTCTCCTCAGCTCATTTACACCAGACCTTTTTCCCCAACGCCTTCCAGCCCAAGCAGAAGCGGAGCTGCCGCAGCTGCCAGCGCCGGGAAGGCGCTGCAGGGGCCTGAGGAGGAGGGAGAGCTGCAGAGGGTTCGGGCCACTCTCTTGCCAGCAGAATTGATCTTGAACACAGATTTATTTCATTTTTTATTCTAAAAGTTTTATTTCATTTCTAAAAGTTTTTAAAAATAAAAGTAATATTTACATGACGTAAAAAATTCAAATGGTAGGAAAGGACTTAGAAGGAAAATGTGTTTGTCTTCCAACTGCAACCTCCAGTTCCTCTTCCCAGAGGTTGACGACTGCTCTGTCTCCTGCCAGGAGGGGAGGGAGGCTGGTGGAGCAGGCAGAGGGTCGGAGGCAGCGTCTCCTTCCGGGGAGAGCGCACGCCTGTGCAGGCGAACGTGTGTGCTCCTGCGTCCCTGAGTCCATGGCCACATAATATCAACAGCACAGTTACTGCCGCACAGTTTCTGGGGGTCAGGAGTCTGGGTCCAGCTCGCTGGGTCCCCTGCTGCAACCAAGGAGTTGACCAGGGCTGCGGTCTCACCTGAGTCTCAACTGGACAAGGATCACTTCAGGCTCCCGTGATGTGGGGAGCATTCAGCTTCCCGTGGGCTGTTGGACTGAGAGCCTCAGGTTCTTGCCCGCCCTTGGCAGGAGGCCACCCTCCATACCAGGCCAGCGAGGGACAGAGAGGGTGTCCCAGCAAGTTGGAATTACAGTCTTACCTGTGATCACATACGCGCAGTCCTGCATACCCATCACCTTTGCACAGGCTGTCGGCTAGAAACCAGTCACAGGTCCTGCCCGCACTGGAGAGCGGGCACCACACAAGGGCATGGTCCAAGGTGGGGGACTCTCAGAGTCTGTCTGCCGCCACTTTTTTTAACTCAAAAGGCAGCAGACAACACATACTAATCGTTATCTCATCTTTTCCACTTAACAACAGATCTTGGAAGTCCCTTCCCAGGGGTGGCTGGGTTGGGCGGGGCTGAGATTTGAGGCCAGTGAGTTTGGGCTCCACTCTGGAGGCTCTAGGAGCCCATGAAGGAGAGAGAGGGGCACAGTGACTCTGTCTGTGGTTCACAAAATCACTGTCACGCTCTCTGCGCGCCAGGCCCTGTCCTAAGGGCTTACCTGTATTAACCCATTTGATCCTCACAACAGCCCTGGGAGGTAGGCACTTTTATTATCCCCATTTTGCAGAAGAGGACATCAAGGACCAGAGAGGTTATGTCACTTACCTAAGGTCACACAGCCAGAAAGTGACAGGAGGGACCCCTACCCCCCATTTACAGATGAGGAAGCAAGCTATTTCTTGCCCAGTCATGCCATACGGCTAATCAGGGGGGTTAGGGGGGTAGGGTGAGGGCGATTTCCTGGCCCACCTCACTCGGCTCTGGTCACAGTCATGGAGGTGGCCAACAGTGCCTGACTTGGAGGAATAACCAGATACCAGGCTGGTGGCTCTTAACCCCTGTGGGGTCAGCTAAGGACAGCAGCCTGAGTGGGAGCTGGTGTTCCCCTCATCCCGCTGGTGCAGTAATGTCTTCCTTTCCTCCACCAGGTTACAGTCCATAATGTGACCTACAGGGAGCCCACCCTCCACCTCCCAGCGCACACCCTGAAGCCTGGGGTTTTCTACAGCGCACGGGTGAAGGCCTGGATTCAGAGCTTCAATAGCACCTGGAGTGAGTGGAGCCCCAGCGTCAAGTGGCTTAACAGTGAGTACCTATCAAGAGTCCTGAGCATGTAGGAACTCTCCTCCCCACTTTTACTCCGTGGCCAGACAGGCCCCCTGGCCGAGCACCTGGGTTTGCATGTCATAGGATGCCTCTAAGTGCAGGTAACACAGTACAAACTGACGTGGTGTACTGGCCAGGGTCAGTGGGCTAGACTGCGGGAACACGGAGCAAATGTATTTCTTGCCTGTGTAACCGTCCAGCATGAACTTTGCTAGTCTGCAGGTGGTTTTCCTCCCAGAGGCTCTGTCATTCTCTAGGACAAAGACAATTAACCTTTTTTGCATCATGGACCCCTTTGGCAGTCTGGTGAAGCCTGTGGGCCCCATTCAGAATTATGTATATATATATATACATAAAGTTGCATTTTAATAAAATTAGTTTTTCCTGTAATCCTATGTATTTTCTTTTTTAATTTATTTATTTAAAATAAATTAACTCCAAGTTAAATATATATATTTATATTTATATATTTCTATCCTCACCCAAGGACATTTTTTCCAGTGTTTTTAGGGAAGGAGGAAGGGAGGGAGGGAGGGAGATCCAAGAGAGAAGCATTGATTGGTTTCCTCCCTTATGCACCTGAATAGGGGATTGTATGCACCTGGACGGGGGACCATATGCACCCGGACCAGGGATAGAACCCATAACCTAGGTATGTGCCCTGACTGGAAATCAAACCTGCAATTTTTGGTTATAATGGGACTATGTTCCAACCAACTGAACCACACTGGCCAGGGCCAGAATAACTTTTAAATGTATAAAATAAAATCCATAGCCCTGATCAGTGTGGCTCAATCGGTTGGGCATCGTCCTGCAAAGTGAAGGGTCAATGGCTCGATTCCCTGTCAGGGCACACGCCTGGGTTGTGGGCCTGGTCCCCAGTCAGGGCGCATGCAGGAGGCGATCCATTGATGCTTCTCTTCTTCTCTTTCTCCCTCCCTTCCCCTCTCTCTAAAAAAAATAAAATAAATAAAAAACAAATATTTAAAAAATACATAGGATACAGGGGATACTAATTTTATTAAAATGCAATTATAAAAATATTTTAAAATATGTTTGTTATCTAGGAATATGTATTCACACATTAAGAACAAGATTTGGTGGGAGTTCTCATAAATACTGTACTTTCCAAGTAGATGAGCATAGTGGTCTTCATGGGCCGGCAGCTGCAGTGCGACAGGGGAACAGCTGTGACTTCTGCTGGGAGCTGAGGGACTGACGCTGCTCTTACTGTGGTTCGCTCCCTCCGTTCCTAATGGGAGGGGACTCCAGGTGTCAGAAGTTAGAGAAAACACAGGTGTCACTTCTGTCCCATCCAAGTTCCCAGACCCTTGAATTCTATCTGCAAACTTGCTGGAGGTCTGTGGAGCCCAAGATAAGAATCCCCAAGGCCCTGCCGTTGTCTGCATCCAGCCAGCAGCCGGGGAATGAGAGCAGGGAGACCACACCTGCTTCTTAAAAGCCTTAGCCTGGAAGTGACACACATCACTTGCTCTCACGTTCTGTTGGTGAAACTGGCCACGTGGCCACACGTAGCTGCAAGGCGTCCCAGGAAAGGTAGCCACCCCCTTGGTAGTACATTGCCAGAGCAACTCTTTGCAACTTTATTACATAGCTTTTGCGATGGAAATATGGAATTACCTCACATAAAATGAAGTCTTACAGGTGGACCTTTCCAGGTGGGCACATTGCTCCCTAGCAAAGAAGAAGGAAAGGTTGGGAAGGGGAGGCTGCCTCAGGCCTCGTCCTACCTCAGTGGGGAGAGTGGAGGCTGTGGTGAACGTTCCCTGAAAGGAGGGTTCTTCAGAGTGCTGGGCACAGTGATGCTTGGGGGGTACTCTGACCCCACCCACCACACATCCCTCCATCCCTCTCAGCTTCGCTCGCCTTGTTCTTGGATGTCTCTTTGCCCTCCTGTCTCCCGCGCTGGGCTGTGAGCTCCGTGGGTCGTATCTACCCTGTGTCTGTGTCTCCAGTGCCCAGAACAGGGCCAGGCACAGGGTAAGTCCTTGGGAAAGTTCTGTTGAATTGATTTGATTCTAACGTTGACCTGGGGAAGGGAAGGGAAAGGAAGAGAAATAGCTTGTATGGAACATGCGCAATGCTCTTGACACTGGTCCATTATTTCCACAAGTATTTATTGAGCTTCTACTACGTGCCTGGCCCCCTGCTAGACACTGGGGAATCAGCAGTGACCAGAACAGACAGAAACCTCTGCTCTTGTGGAACTGGCATTCTGGAGGGGGAAACAGAAAATAAAGAAGTAAATGAAAAAGTAAACCAGATAGATCTAGATCCAGATGGTAGTGGGTCTGGGAAGAAAATACAACAGAGTAAGGGGTGGCGCGATGAGCGGGGCAACAGCGGGGGGAGGGGCGGGGGGAGTCTGGGCGGGCGGCGGTGAAGTGACCGAGGGAGGGAGCCAGCCGTGTGGAGCCGGTAACGGCAAATACTTGCGGAGGTGCAGGCGCTGTTCTGAGTGCAGAGTGTGTTAAGCCGTGTGACTCTCAGAGCCCTGTGAGATGAGCACTTCTGTTAACCCCATTGTACCGATGAAGAAACCAGCGCCCACAGAGTGCGAGGGACCTGTCCCGGGTCATCAGTGAGGGTATGACAGCTTCAGGTACTGAGCTCAGGTGGCACTAAGCTTTGGAGGAGCAGGGGGCAGCAGGGACCCGTGTGATGAGGGCTCAAAGGGCAAGGGGGAGGGGAGGAGGGGTTGAGGCAGGAGGACTTGGTGGTGGCCAGATGTTGCAGGGTCTGGGAGGACGCTTTCCTCAGGCCCGGGCTCCAGCTTGGGAAATGGAGGCCAGGCGGCCCTTCGCACCACGCAGGCTCACGCCTCCCTTCCCACTTCCAGACTACGAGTGGTCCTGGCAGCAGCACCTCCCGCTTGCCGTCGCCATCTGCTGCGTTACCATCCTGGTCATCTGCGTGTCCTGCTACTTCAGCATCCTCAGGTGAGTCCTGGGCCGGCCCCGTCGGGGTGCGGAGTGGGCAGGAACCCCTCCTCTCATTTGTCAGCTTGCAAGCCTTCATGCAACGATAAATGTTTATTGAGCAGCTACTGTGTGCGAGGCACTACAGCAACAGCTGAAACAAGACTGACAAGGACCCCGTGCTCCTTGTGGGAGACAGATGTCAGCTCAGCGAATGACCGTAACCATTTTCCGCGGTGATCCATGCGCTGAAGGAAATGTACCAGGGGAAGGGCAGAAATGTTGCAGGGCGCTGCTGTAGGTCGGGAGGTCAGGGCAGACCCCTCTGAAGAGGTGATGTTGGAGCTGAGACCTGACTCAGGGAGTGAGCTGGCCCAGGAAGAGCTGGGGAAAGGGCCTGCCTTTGGCAAAGGGAGGTGGATCATGCCCAGGGTATGGTCTCGGCAGTTGGGGGCCGGTGACAATAGACCGAGAATTCTAGATAATTTGCCCGACATTATCAGGAGACCAGGGTTTGGGTTCTGGCCCTGGTGCTTGGTAGCTGCGTGACTCTCAGCCTTGGGTTCCTCCTTTGCAGGCTGCGATATAGTGAGAACGTGCTTTGTCAGTCCTGCGAGTCCCAGCAGAGTCTTGGATCGCAGTGGGCTGGAGGGCAGAAGGAGCCTGGTTTCCAGTGAGTTTGAGGCCTAGGAAACCTGACAGCCCAGAGCCTCAGTCCTCCCACCTTTGAAATGGGACTGGCGAGCCCTACCCACCACATAAGGATCAGTGATGGCTGAGGGTTGGCATGAGTGTGTCCCGCCCTTTGCTGGGCGCACATTAAGTGTGCAGGGATTGCAAGTTTTCCTCTCCACATCTTGTCACTGACACCTCTTAGCTACGCTGGGCCGGTCTTCTCCCCTTCTCTGAGCCTCAGTTTCCCCACTGCCTGTCCTTCCCAGCTTCGCTCACTGTGTCCCAGCACCCCAGTCTCCTTGCTCTTCTCTGGATGCACCAAGGAAGTTCCCTCTGAGCCTTTGCAGTTGCTGTGCTTCCTACTGGAAAGCCCTTTCCCCAGGCATCGCCATGACTCCCTCCTCACGCACCTTCAGTCGCCACTCAGAGGTCACCTCCTCAGGGAGGCCCTCCTGGATCACACTCTCCATTCCTCTCTGTTCCCTTCTTTATTTTTATTCATGGCACTTAGTGTCATAATTAACGATGCCACATGTTCATTTCTGTACCTGTCTGTCTCCCTCTTCTAGAAGGTCAGTTCTGTGAGGGCAGGGCTTTTGTCTGTCTTGTTCACTGTTGTGTCCCTGAAGCCTGGCACAGTGAGGGTACATAGTAGGCGCTCAGTAAAGACATGCTGACTGACTGAGTGGGGTTAGCAGAAGCTGAGCCGGGGGTAATCTGAGGAACCTTCCGTCTCAGAGCTGACACTCCATGGCTCCAGTCTGACCCAGGGAGGGTGAAGGAATCTATTTCTCCTGGGTTTCCTCAGCCTCTCAGGCCAGCCCCAGCCTCTCCCTGGCACCTTGCTCTCGGCTGCTCCGTGTAGGGGATTGTTGATGGGGAAGCTCAGAATGCTCTGCAGCTTGAGCCCTTCCTACTTCCCTGGGTCTTGTTCCCACTGAGGATGGAGGTGTCGAGGGAGGACCTTCATTCTGGGAGGCCGAGTGCTGGAGCACAACCCGGCTCTTCTGCCCGCCAGCTGTCACTTCACCCCTCTGAGCCTCGGTCTGCTCATCTGTGAATGGGGTTGGCAGCAGAACCTGTCTCATGGGATTAGGGTGAGACATCCAAAAGCAATCACCATGGTCTCTGACCCCCGGTAAGTATTGGCGACTGTGATCATTTTTATGGAAGGAGAGACCAACGCCTTTTCCTTTTCTTTTTCAGGATTAAGAGAGAATGGTGGGACCGAATTCCCAACCCAGCCCACAGCCCCCTCGTGGCCATTGTCATCCAGGACTCTCAGGTAGGAGCGTGGGTTGGTTCGGATGCTCAGGACTGCATGTATCAGGACGCCTGGGGTGTTAAAGACACTTGTTGGCTTTGGGAATTGCACCTGAGCCATCAGGAACGTTTCGGGGGAGGTTGATTCAGCAGCTCAATGTGGTTGTTAAGAGCCCAGAGGCTTCCGCTCCCTTCCACTCTGCTTTCGTAGCTACTTTTTCAGCCTTCGGTGGGTTCCTCTCAGTTTGGTCTCTGGTTTTTTTCCCTCCCTTGGGAGGAGATGACCCCTGACGTCATCTGCCTCTCATCTTCTGGGGAGGTGCTTGTACCAGGGCAGGCGGCCAGAAGGAGAGGGAGATGGGGACACGTTTCCTGTGTTTTCCTCTTAAAATCAGGAAACTGCTGCCAAAGTGCCAGCAAATCTCTTCTCATTTCTCATTGGCCTGAATTGCATCACATGCTCTTTCCCAAACCATTCCCCTCTAAGGAGTGGGAGTATCTGAGACCCACCAGGTGGCCACCTCTGAGCTGGGGGTGGGGCCCGCTTCCCCAGTGCGAGGGCCGTGTATGGTTTGCCTGAGCTGCATCAGGGTTCTCTAGGAGGAGCAAGTTAGGGATGCAGGTCCCGTGTAGAAGATCTGAGTGTTCTCAGTTCTCCAGGGACCCTGTGGCGGGCTCTGTAGTCCAGGGGTGCTGGCTTTGAGCCCTGGCTCTGCCACTTACCTGCAGAGTAGACTTGAGCGAGTGGCTTAACTTCTCTGAACTTCAGATTCCTCATGTGGGTTATCGCAGTATTTATGTAACAGGGCTGACTTGGGACTTCACCAAGACAATACGTGTAAAGTGTATATTACAGGGTCCTGCACATAGTAAATGTAGTTTATGTATCAGTCAGCTTTTGCTGTATAACAAATGATCCCAAAACTTGGTTGAAAGCAGAGCCATTTCTGTATTCTTGCTTCTGCAGGTTGGCTCAGCAGTGGGGTTGGCTAAGGGTATTTGGGCTGGGCGGGTACATCTCTGGGCTGGCTCATCCCCAGTGGCTTCCCTCACAGGTCCGGCAGTTGTCTGTCATCCTCCAGCAGGCTCGTCCAGTTGGCACAGTGTCACTTGTATCACATTCCAATGGCCAAAGCAAGCCACACGGCCAGACCAGATTCAAGCAGTAGGAGGAGCTGTAGACGAATGACTGTGGTCATTTTCCCCATTAGCCTCAGCAACTTAATATTAGGGTAGTCTCACTAATTCTCAGGAAACTGAGGCTCAGAGAGCTGAATGAGCTGATCGGACCTCAGGCCCGTGTGATGTCACAGCTTGCAGCCTTCCCACAGCATCAAGGCCCGCAGAGCTTCCTTACTGAGCATCACCGTACACCAGGAAGGCTCTCCGCTCTGTCTCATTGGCTGTCCCTCCGTTTCAGGTGCCACTGTGGAAGAAGAGGTCTGGGGGCCAGGAACCAGCCAAGTGCCCGTATGTATACGAACCTCGGTCATAGCCGCTGTGGATTTGGAAGGGGATGGAATTGGTGCAGTGGGTCCTACCTTGAGGGGCGTCACGCACCCCCTCCGTGTCTGCCTTCTCTTCCTTGGCACTCAGCACTTTTCCTTCAAGGGGCAGCAGGAGGAGTGGCTGGGTAGATGGGCTGCTGACTGAGCCCGCTGAATTTCCCTGGCGGGCCAGGCACGTGTTGAACCCCCTGGGGAGTGCAGCCTGGCCCGGGCAAGACTGGCAGAGGGGGCCACCAGGGCGGCTGTGGCAGCTGTTAAAATGCTGACAGCATTGCCTGCCGGTTGGCAGATACCACTGTCCTAAACCGTCGAGTATGCCGCCATCCCCCTGGCCTCCTGAGCTCCCCCCGAGGGCCGCCTGGGCCCACCCACAGTCCAGTAACTAAAGGGTTTATACCTGGCACAGCAGGGGACTTCGGGACGCTGGGAGCCCTAGGACCCCACAGCCATTCTAATTGGTCATTGCTTACGCTGTGAGCTGATAAGTATTTGAAGGACCATCATCCCTGACAAAGTATTTTCCTTACTTTATAGACTGAGTTTGTATTAAGTACCAGGATATGGCTGGTCTTGACACATCCCAAAGTAAGACACAGGCCCTGCCTTCAAGGAGCACCCAGGGTAGTGGTAGGATAGGCTGATGGATTACTGATTGCAAAGTCAGGAAGCATGTCTGCGATAGGAAGACATCAGTGCAGGTGAAATTAAGCTGGCCTTTCAAGGATGAATAGGAGTTTTTCAAGTGGCGACACTGAACCCTGACCACACTTTGCTTTGCTTTTGCAGGCACTGGAAGACTTGCCTCACTAAGCTCCTGCCCTGTTTGCTGGAGCATGACACGGAGAGAAGTGACAGTTCCTCCAAGGCTGCCCGAAAGGAGCCTCTCCAGGGGCCTGGAAAGTTGCCGTGGTGCCCTGTGGCGGTCAGCACAACGCTCCTCTCGCCAGAGAGCATCAGCGTGGTGAAGTGCGTGGAGCTGGCAGAGGCCCCGGTGGAGAGTGAGGAGGAGGAGGAGGAGGAGGAGGAGGTGGAGCAAGACGCAGGGAGCTGCTGCCCGTCACCTGAGAGCAGCAGGGGCAGCTTCCAGGACAGCAGGGAGGGCATCGCGGCCCGGCTGACGGAGAGCCTGTTCCTGGACCTTCTCAGGGCTGAGAATGGGGGCTTTGGCCCACAGGGCCTGGGGGAGTCCTGCCTTCTTCCACCTTCAGAAAGTGGGAGTGCTCCGATGCTTTGGGCTGAGTTGCCACGTGAGGAGCCTTTTAACCCAGAGTCCACCCCTCCAGCCACTCTGACACAGAGGCCAGCCTGCCCGGCTTTCGCAGAGATGTCCGCCGTCGTCACAGACAACCCCTCCTACCGCAGCTTCAGCGACTTCCTGGGCCAGTCCTCAGGTGCAGGAGAGCTTTCCTCAGACGCACAGCCGTCCGAATGCCCGGGGGACGGGGACCCCAACATCCACTCTGCTCCCCAGCCCTCTGAGCCACCCACTGAGCTCCAGACTGAGCCGGAAACCTGGGAGCAGACCCTCCGCCGGAGCGTCCTGCAGCACAGGGCGGCCGCAGCCCCCGCCGCGGCCCCCACCGGGGGCTATCGGGAGTTTGTGTGCGCGGTGAAGCAGGGCAGCGCCTCGGGCGGCGGGTCTTCGGACTGCGGCCCTTCCGGAGGAGCTGGGTACAAGGCCTTCTCCAGCCTGCTCGCCAGCGGTGCCACCTGCCCAGGCACATCTGGAGTTGGGGCCAGCAGCGGGGAGGGGTGCTACAGGCCCTTCCAGAGCATCACTTCTGGCCACCCTGGGGTTCCTGCCCCTGTCCCCCTGTTCACCTTTGGACTGGACATGGAGCTGCTTCACAGCCCTCAGAACTCACTCCTCCCAAGCAGTTGCCCCGGGTGCCCTGGTCTGGAGCCAGAGGCAAAGGGAGAGGAGAGCCAGAAGCCCCCGCTCTTCCTGGAGCAGACCACAGGCCCCCTGGGGGACGACCTGGGCAGTGGCATTGTCTACTCAGCCCTCACCTGCCACCTGTGCGGCCACCTGAAGCAGTGTGACAGCCAGGAGGAGCGGGATGAGGCCCATGTTGTGTCCAGCCCCTGTTGTGGCTGCCGCTGTGGAGACAGGTCCGAGCCCCCAGTGAGGCGCCTGAGGGGTCCAGACCCCCTGCCAGGTGGGGTTCCACTGGAGGGCAAGTCGTCCCTGTTCTTCCAGCCTGACCCCAGCAATGCTCAGAGCCCGAGCCAGACCCCCGACATGGCGGCCGTGCTCCCTGCAGGGCCCACGTGCACGAGTGTTTCCTAGGCCGTGCCCTCTTGTTGCTGTGAGTGCCTTACCTGTGCCTGCGGGTGGCTCCCCCGAAGGCAGCCCAGCTGGCAGATTTCCGAGACTTGGAGGATCTGTTGGCCACCTCCTCGGCGCGCTCTTCCCTGTCATGCCCGCCCAAGGCATGTTTTCTCCACCTAGTCCCTCGCTGCCCTGTCTTGCCCAGTCCTGGGACCAGCGGCTGCCATGTCACTGGCTTGGACACGGAGCCTAAAAAGTAACCAAGCCCGCAGGGGAGGCCTGGGAACCTGATGGGAAGTTGAGGCCCTGGAAGGGTGGCTGTGTGCCCAGAGGTGCCCATTCATTCAACGGAGCTTCATTAGGGCGACACTGGAGGCAAGACGTGGGCCGTGGAGGGCTGCTTAGTCAAGTGGGGGTAACAGAAGCCCACGAAAAATGGCGATTACCAAGCAGTGACGATTTGCTGTCAGATCTCTCCACAACTGTAAGGCTGGGGGCTCCTGTTAAGCACTGGATCCCCGGAACACACCCACCCAGCTACCTTGGGGCTGGTCTATGCCCCTGTGGGCACCATTGCTGGCAGCCACAGAGACCAGAGGGAGAGCCTCACGCCTGAGACCCGCCTGAGCTGGGCATTCCAGATGCTGACACCAGGCACGTTTAGCCTGCACACTGGCCCAGGCCTGGGGTTCAGTAATGTTTGTGTGCATCTCAAGGATTGTTTAAACCTGGTGTTTGTATTTGCTGAGGAGGGTGGGATGGGAGGGGTGGAGTTTTATATAAATAAAGGTTCTTTATCTCTTGTTCTCATTAACGAAACAAACACACTGCCAGCCACCATTGTGAGTGCGCTATCTCTGTTAACTCGTTCAGTCCTCCCATCCCGGGGTCCCAGGCCCAAGAGGTTAAGTAACTTGCTTTCTCTGCGTAGGTTCCCCTGAGACTGGGATTCAAGTGCAATTAGTTGATTTAGAAGGTGCTGCCAGGAAACTCTGCTTGGGGAGCGGGGCAATGAGGCAGGGAAGGGCAGGAGGCGATAAAGGGTGTGTTACCAAACAGTGCCCGTGCCAGCGACTGCCACTTAGTCCTGCCGGGAGCTTTGGAAAGCCATGCACAGCACATGCCTAGCGGTGCCCCTGCAGAGGGTGGGGGACCTGGGGTGTTTGTCCACCGACTCCCATCATGGTTGGATGGCCACTTTCAGGGGCACTGCAGCAGCTGCTGCTACACTTGGCCAAGGTCACACAGCTGGCTAGTGGCAGGCCCATCGCTGAACCCAGGCAGTGTCTGTCACCCAGGCTCTCTGTGGGTGGTCTGTTCCGGACGTCCAGGTAGGTGGTGTGGTGGAGGGGGCTTCAGAGGCAGGCAGGGGTCTTAACCTCCTATGTCGTCATTCTGTGTCCCTGAGTAGCTGCATTGACTGTCACCCTTGCAAAGTGAGGGGCTTGGCTGTTTGAGGTTCCTTCCTGCTCTGGCATCCTAAATGCACTACAGGAGACAGGGAGCTCACTACCTTACATGCAGCCTGATGTTTGTTAAGAATATCTCCACTGTGCTGAGCCCAAAGCTAACCCTTTAGCTGCCAGTCACCTCCACCACCGCCACCCCTGCCAACACACATACACATGGTTTACAGATGGGGAAACTGAGCTCTAGAGAGGAAGCGGGACTTAACTAAGATCAGCAGTGAATAGCAGAGCCTGAACCAGCCATATGGACTTTGTGTCTTCAAGAGCTTTTATAACAAAATATAATGATTTAAAATAAAAACTCTTTAGTGCCAAGAAATATGCTAAGTGCTAAGTGACATACAGTTATGTCAGCACTAGTGGGCAGGTCCATTTATCCCAGTTTTGCAGATGAGGAAGCAGGCCTTGAAGGTCACACAGCTAGGGATTCCTAGAGTCAAGATTTGAACCCAGGCCCAACTATACAGCTCCCAGCCCCCAAGGAATGCCACCTCCTGTACAGCATAGCACCTATCAAGTGTCAGCTCTAATTCACTTTGCCTGAGCATCACCTCCGAAAATCCAATTTAAAAGTCAAGCAGCACACGGAAGAAATGCATTTGTGTGAGTGGTGAAGAAGCAGTTGGGTTGGAAATCCAACAGAATGGAGGCCGGAGTCAGTGTTCTCTACTTGGGATCTTAAGAGAAAGAGACCCAAGTTGTCAGCTGAGGCTGATATTGCAGAATTAGCTGCTCTTGGGGATGCTGGAATGGAGAATTAGAGATACCTCCCATCTCTTAGCCCAATTTAGATCCACCCTTCCAGTTTCGGGGAAGTTAGAGAAAGGCCACTCACTATTCTTCCCCAAACCCCCATTCCCAGCTTAGCACAGGGAGGGAAGGAGCAGAGAAGGGGATAACCACACACTGATTGGGTGCTGAGGAAACTGAGGGAGACAAAGTCCCTTCCCTCTTGGATCTTACAGTTCAGTGGGGGAGACAGACATTAAACAGACAAAAGGGAAAATTACAAACATTGGGTGCTGTGAACTCTGAGAAAGGAGACACCTACTAATAAGGACTCCTGGTGGCTGACTGGGCTCGTTTTTTTGTTTTTTTAAGATTTTATTTATTTTTAGAGGGGAAGAGAGGGAAACATCAATGTATTGTTGCCTCTTGAGCGCCCCCTGCTGGGGAACCTGGCCCACAACCCAGGCCCGTGCCCTGACTGAGAATCAAATCGGCAACCATTTGGTTTGCAGGCTGGTGCTCAGTCCACTGAGCCACACCAGTCAGGGCTCAATATATACACACACACACGTGTGTGCATGTGTGTGTGTGTGTGTGAGTAACATATATATGTATTTTTTGTTATATTACAGTTGTCCCAATTTTCCCCCATTGCTCTCCTCTGCCCTGCCCAACCTCGCCCTTCCCCCTCCTCCTATAGTCAATCCCCACCCTGTTGTCCATGTCCATGGGTCATTTTTACCTGTTCCTTGACTAGATCCTTCCCCCTTTCCCCCCTTTATCCCCCTCCCCTTTCTCCTCTGGTTGATGTCAGTCTCTTCCTTGTTTCTGTGCCTCTGGTTCTAATTTGCTTGTTTGCTTGTTTTGTTCATTAGGTTTCTCTTATAGGTGAGGTCATATGGTATTTGTGTTTTTCCACATGGCTTATTTCACTTAGCATAATACTCTCCAGTTTGGGCTCAAATTTTTAAAAACCAGAACCTAGCAGCAATTTCTACACAGCCTCTCATGCAAACTGCACTTGAGAGGCACCTGCACTGAACTGCTTGCCTGCACTGTAGTTCTGCCATCTGAGTCAGCTCTTATAAAGGAGTCCTGGGAATCCTATTTCAACCAATAGGACTGAGGCTTTCCCAATCCAATTGGAGCTGTGCAGCTCCAACCCGCCAGAGCAGCTCTATCCTGACCAATCAGGACAGTGCCTCTTGGACCAATCAAACTGTGAGGATTCAGAGCCCTCATTTGAATGAGAACAGACCAATCAGGGACCTGGGGCAGGGACTTTTGTCCATATAAGCCAGCTCCCTCCCTGGTTCTGGGAGTGCACTTTCCCTTTCCCCTGAGGACTGTGTCTCCCTGGCTGAGTTGAAACACTGAAGATGTGCACTCCCATGCCTGCTTAAGCAGAGGGGAGCAGACCAGCCCAGGCCAGAGCAGACAGGAGCAGACCAAAGCACAGTGGGGCAGAGGAGCACAGCACAAAGCAGACAGGCATGGAGCAGAGCATCGAGGAGCAGAGCTATCTAGCCAGAAAGCTTTGGCTAGATGGCTAACTAGCCATTGGCTCCGGGGCTGCCTGATAGCTGTGCTGTTTTCACAGCCGTACTGTATCACAATTGAGCTGTTTTGCTCTGAATAAAGTTTCTTTTTTCACCACACCCCAAATTGGATTCCTGTTGAATTGGTGCCGACCATCAGTTAACAGCACTATGAAGGAATGGGGTCTGAGGCACGGGGAACTAAAGGGAGGTCTTTAAGGAGGTGACCTCAGTTGAGCCCTCAGTGACTACAAGGAGCCAGGAAGGACTAGGGGGAGAGCATTCTGAGCAGAGGGTAGAGCAAGTACCAAGGCCCCGGAGTTCGGCACACTCACAGCGCAGAAAGGCCAGATACAGCATAGTGGACCAGGGACAGTGGTGGAGCTAAGATTGGACACAGCGGGGCCTGGGGTGAGGAATTTATATTTTGGCTTAAATGCACATTAGCCCCACTCACTGAGAAGTGTGGTCCAGCAGACACCAGTCTCTCTTTAATCTCCCCAGTCCCAAAACGTAACCAACCCTGAAGCAGGAGCCAGTGAGAGAAATGGAGCTACTGGAAGTCTCCCCCAAGTAGGACTCCCTCCCACCCTGCCCAGGTGGAGGACTAAGGTTCGCCCTGACACCAGCGGCTGGGGCGGTGAGAACCTCATCGCTGATATTCTCACTCAGGAGTGAAGTGACTCCCACCAGGAAGGAGGTGACCGGCACAGGGGAATGGCTGGCTGGCTGCCAGGGCCTTTCTTGGAATCTCTTTGATAAAAGACTTTTGAAAATCCCCTTGAAAACCTGGTCTTTGGCCTCCCAGTCACGGGTCTCCAAATCAGGCATGAAATCCCACGGGTCTTTGGGGCTTGAAGCCCTAGACCCCTTCTCTGCTTTCAATGGTCCCTTTATCCTGTCTATGCCTTCATTTTCTCATTTGTACAACAGAAAAGACAAAATCGGTGTCCTAGGGTTTTCCCGAAGATAGTCTCCATTATCATCACGTTCATCATCTCTTGTGTTTACTCCAGCCTGGCTGGGGCGCTGCTCCAGGCTTCCTCCAAACTTTCCGGTAAGTCTCTGATGGCTCTCACTGCTGCTGGTGAAACCTGACATAGGAGCCCCACAGCTTCTGCCTTACCTGGTGCCACCCCCCAACCCCCCGCTGCAACTCCTGTGCTCTCTGGTGTATGCCTGCTCCTTCCTTGGTCAGAAATTCTCTACATTCCCTCCTTCATTCAAATATTACTCCCTGAGAGGTAATTGTTAAAACAAAAGTATACTTCTCAAATTTTTACCTGCTTGGCTCGTGCCTTGCTCGCAAGAGTGGAATTCAGGAAGAGACAGACACGGACAGTGGAAATGAGATAGCAAGTTTATTCATGAAATACACTTGAGCACAAGTCTGCAAGCGGGCACCCACGTAGAGTGGAAGCAAGTGGGTAGGAGGCTGTAAGATGTTTAAATACTGGAGCCCGAAGCTACAAGTGGGCACCCAGCTAATCTGAGTGTCCCGGCTCTTGGGGTTTTGGGGATTTTATGCTTATAACCAGCTTCTAGGTTATCCCGTCCTCCTCCCTCCAGACCTTGGGGTTAATACACAGTTTCAAAGGCTTTCTTTCCCAGCAAGTGGAATTGTTACAAAGGTTTCTTTTCCAATTAATGGAAAGGATACACACAGAATTTCAAGGGCTTCTCTCCCCCAGCGCTCTCTCAGTTTTGCTTGTGATTTCAAAACATGTGGCAGTTTCATGCAGACAGGAGCAGGGCTGGGCATTAGTGAGTGAAACGTGGGTCCCTCCCTCTTCCTGCCTTGGTTTACTATCTATTCTGCCTAACAAAACTATGAGCATGGATTAAAGTTTTATTTTAGATTTGCAGGAAGAGAATCAGGAAAAAAGAGGGACCTTTGGTTCAAATGAACAATCTTTTAGAAAGTGGTTTTATACCAAGACAGTGCCTAGGACAGCGCTGCCCAACAGAACTTCTTACCAATAATAGAAACGTTTTACACTGTCCAATACGGT